AGTCTCTCAAACACACCCACTTGAGGTGTGCGACTTACCTGCATTGTCACTGGTTCCTTCCTCTAAAAACAAACATCTTCGGAGAAGGGAAACAGATTTAAAAGGATGTTTGTAATTAACATTATGAGTTTCTGGGGAAGCTGAACAAAAGCAGTTACTTATGTTCCTCACAAACTGGATGGTGTTCAGTGCCCATTATGCATTTTTCTCTCAGGGGAAGGAGGAAGCAGAGCTGTAAGCTACGGACATTCTCTCAAAGTGAAACTTAGCTCAGGACACACAACAGAACACACATCCCCCACACCGATGGGAAATGGCCCAAATGTCTGACACACTGCCACTGAGAGAGAGAGAGGAAATAAACCAACCAACCAACAGAAACCCAAAAACAAACTCAAATGTCTGGCAGTTTGACAGAGGAGAGAAGAAAAACAAATGGTGCCATTCAGCTGAAGTGAAACAATTTTTTGGCAAAATCTTGAATTCCAAGCCCAATCCTTCCCCTGTCTATCAAGTGCAGAGAGGTAACAAAGGAAAGATTTAGAGAAGGCTTGGCAGCATGATCCAAATTTCAAAAAGCTTCTGTTTGACCAACAACATTCCACAACAAAAAGAATATGTGGAGTGCTACAATCCACTCTGGGACTCCTTGAGTCATCTCACATGCCAGGATGCTTTCTGCCTTTGCAGCAATTTCAAATACATACAATTCCAGTGCTTAAAGGTTCTTTGATTAGAACTGTGAATAGTTCTGATCCCTGTCCCCACAGATCTTCTTCAAGAAGACCAAACCAAAGGATGAAGTACCAGTGCAATCAAAGCGTCAACTGGGTGGAAGCATTTCTAAAATAGAAAACCAAAGGTGGGCAGCTCTGTAGATGTGGAGGTTTGGTGTGTACATCCAGACACCAGAATCAGCCGTGTGTGGTAACAGGACATACAAGCACTACTCAGACTGACTGGGCAAGAGCACAAGTAGGGGAAGAACAGAGCACAGAGATGACACCCACCCCCTCAACTGCCCTTAAATATCCTGTCTGAAGAGGAGCACAGATCCACCATGGCAGCAGCTGTGGAAGCTGTTACAGGTGCCCTACAATACCCACACACAGAAGGTTGAAGTGCTTCCCTCCCACAACAACTTGTCCAAAACGGTGCAAAATGTTCATCAGTCTGCATGTTCCCAACTCTTATCCAACACATTCCCCATGCCAGGCTGCAGCAGCACAGGGCACTGTCTCTGACAGGAAATATTCATAACCTCAAAGGACTTCGTGGCCATTTCAAGGCCCTGTACTATCTCAAGATCCAGAAGGCCTCCTGCTCCACAACCTTGGAACTCAAGAAAAGATCCTGGGCAAAAACACTTTGTGCCCATTGTGCCTCCCACTTTCCTCCAGACACCCTCCGTTCCTCACTCTGCAACATTTATTCTCCAGAAAAGACCATCATCTCCCAGTCCCCTCTTCTTATGACAGGAACCACGCTCTTCCCAAGGATTTCCAGTTCCCTCGTGTACACAAGTCTTCCCACTGCTCAAGGGCACCTTTCACATCAGCACATGCACAGGCCCTACTCACTGTCACTGCCACATTCACCTCTGGCACAAGTCACAATCTCCCACCTCAAGCCTCAACTTTTGCTTACCCTCCCCAGCAACTGCAACACTGTAAAACCCACACAGATGGCATCCCATGCACGGTGTCCATCAGACTCTCTGCAGCTGATCCTTCGGGTCAGCAGTTTCAGGGGGAAATGTCACACACCTGTGAGTAACACTCGCTGCAGAGCTCTGCTCGGGACAGCTCTCATGGCAACAGGCACTGATGTCATAATAATAGAGAGACAGAACAACCCAGATGCTGAGGAGCACAGCAATGCAGTCCATTCCATCCCCTGGGTAGGAGAAACTGGCTGAGGGATTATTGTGTTCTTGTTGAAAATAGCATTTCCACAGAACTTGAAAGGAGAATGTAAATATCGAATAAAAAAATTAAAACAGGTGAGTGTGCTTCAAACCTCCCGTCCAGCCAAAAACACAAGTTCACAACTACACCCAACAAAACATGGATGGAAAACAACACAAAAAGAATCTCAAAATCAATAACAAAGACCCCAAAACCAAACCTTCACAGTTTTCATAAGGACCCTACTGGGACAACCAAAATGGAGAAATTACATTATGGAAATTGAAAATACATTAAACCACAAGTCCAAATTGTCACCCTGCCTCACATCTTCTGTAGAGGAATATGTCAGAAGACGAGGACAGAGAAGAAACCACATCTGATACCACCATGGTCAACAAGGGCAATAAGGCAGCACACAGGGCCGGGGGCACTGTCACCAGCAGAGCCTCCTTGGTTTGCCCTCCTTCACCAAGCTCGGCTGGAAACGCTACACACCATCACGCAGCAGCGTTGTCTGCAAAGTGACACCTCGGGGAACTTCCCACGGCAATGGGCAGTGATTTAAGCCCAGGGGAGAATAATTCATATCCACAGCAGAAAACCTCCGCGGCGGACCGTAACCCCAAAGGGATGCTGCTACACCTCTGCTTCTGGCAAGTCCTCCCCGCCCACCACCAGGAGCAGGGGGACACCGGCAAG